AGAATTTCATTCCACAATTCATCAAGACAAAACAAAATCACTTGAAAAATCAAGAACTTAAGAGGAGAAACTTGTATGGTTTAATTTTTTGCATGCAAGACATTGTTTTTAGGAAATTTCACCAGACACTTATTTTGCCAAAATGCTCACAAGTACTTTTTTTTTATTAATAGTGTTGTTAACCACAGGAGTGGACAAACCATGACTCTAAGCCAGGTGCAGCCCATGCAAAAATTTATTTTGCCATCTATATATTTGCAAATATTCAATTTAATCTGACTCTGAGTATTTTTAAAAATAGAGGAACTGTATTGAACAACCCAATGGCATCATGGTAAAGGGGTAGCACACACTATTCCATGTATCACATTGATCATTAAAGTCTCTTCAAATTGTATTTTTTCAGATTTCCTTTATTGCTATTAAGAGGGTTGAGTATGTTGTGTTAAAATGATTTGAGAACCTCGTCATGTTGTTACAGGCCATGTTGCCATGTCTTGTCAGAGATGCATCTGGTAACTTGATCAGTACATCTTCATATGGAATAGCATGAATACCTGTTTTGTTCTCCAGCTGCATGAGGTATTTAACAGTTGAATGAGAGGTAAGAGTAGGAGCTTTACCTTGGTTAACCCATACCAAGTTGACTTCATTTCTAGATGGAGATTCTTCTTGGTTATGTGGCTAGGGCATATCAGTGGTTTTTGCTACTAACCTTTGTGTTCGAGGATTATAACCTTTTACACAATACCACTCTTTTGCTTACCATGGCTTGGGTGTGATTTATTGCAGGCCCCTTTCTGGAGAACCCTGGTGAACTGAATAGAACAGTGTACTGGTTCTAGTAGGCTAGATTCAAGATTACTATGTCTGCCTGAATCAGTATGTGAGGCTACTTTTAATTAACTGGTTGTTAGAAAACAGCCAGTCAATTGGCAAAACATCTTTTGAAGCTTAACATATCTAAACATCTCAGAAATACACAAACTTTTTAAATATAAATGGCAACTTATTCAAAATTAACAGTTTGGAGGTAGGCTTAACATTTTTCCATCTGCTTTAATGGTATGCACTTTTCATTTATTTGTTGAGAGTTACAAACATTTTTCTTTCATTGGATATTATTTTTTTATGTGTGAAGTCATTTAGATGGATCCTAAATTGAGGAAAAATTATCAAAATTGTTTTCAATGATAAAGGATTTTTTGTTACAAATGAAAACATATTAAATGCCTTTGATTCCAAAATTATTTAAGTCCCATAAGTTACACAGAAAGGAAACATCATGGGACTGGAGAATATCAAGCAGACAAGAAATGTTCAACAGTCACATAATTTTTTGTAATTTTTTCAAGGAAAATCAGTGGAGTGTTCTAATGTTGGGCTGCAATTTCTAACTTGTAGCAGAGAAAGACCAGAATCTAATTAGTTAACATGACAAACATGGTCCTTGCTTGCTAGTAAAAAGTCTAAAAAGTTAACTTTTATGACATAGTAAAGTATAGGTTCTCTTCAGCAAATTGCATATAATAAAATAGCAATTATGATCAACTTTTGTGCCTTACTGATGTTATATATTATCTACCATTACATTTTCATGTATCTTTATTTGCCAAAATTTACTGAAAACAATTGTCCCATTGCATACAAATTCAAGCATTATCAGTTTGTTTCAGGAAGAAAAAGGTCAAGTAGGATAGGCAAAGGTCATATAGAAACATACTTAATATTTATTATTTACCATTTGAAAGATTTAGTTTATATGTGATTGGTCAGTAACCTGTCCTTGTGAAAACTGATTTATACAATATTGCCTCATTATTTCATAATATGGCTGATCTGTACTTTAATTTGTCTAACCATTGCAATTATAAACACTTGTATGTAGTATCTGTTTAAATATTTCATTTCATGACAAGTTTTTATGTTAACTGACTTTAATTTTGATTATTGGAGCATGAGTTAAAGTGGCAGAAGTCCAATCTTTAGAGATAATCCTATCATTAAATACTGTAAATATTTAGTGCCCCAAAGTGGTCTTGAATGTACCTGAGAGTACTTTGACTTCTCTGACTTTCAAGGGCTACCTATGCCTTTATAAATTGGGACACAGAACCAGCCATAAATGTTCTTTGCTATTCTCATCCATGAACATTTTTGAAAACTGTAAATATAAAGGTCATAATGTTGCACTAATTGCTTAGCTTGGATATAGGTTACAAGCCACAGTGGTTAATACCCCTTGGACTTTTTTAATCTTTCCTGCCCTCTTGGATTGAGGTCGTACTTGTTTCAAGTGGTGACACAGAGTCTTGAACAAGTCATTATGAGCTGATTTATGTCTTTATGTTTTGTAAACATATTTTCTCTAGCTTCAGTGGCCAGAGAATTCAGTAACGTATAATGAAGCTGCTATCGTATATAGATTTTTTTGTTTGTTCACTTATATTTGCTTGTTTGCCTTTTCTATCCATCATTTTATTGTCTGCATATCATTACAGCACTTGTAATTGTTTGCCAGAAACCAATGTAGCTAGATGAAACATTATTTTATCACAAATTACAGTTGTTACAGTAAGGAAGAATGTTTTAAAAACAGGTACGAGGTTTCAATCACTGTTATGACTTGTGTACTTGAGATTTATTGCACCAGTGAACAAAATTTTGTACCTGCTTTAAAAATACTCTTCCTTACTGTAAAAGCTGTAAATTGTAATAAAATAATACTTATAATCACTAATTAGACTCGAAATGAAACTATTAGGTACTACATCATATGCCAAATCATTTTGTATTTAAGTTACTGCAAAAAATGCATGATTTGAAACTATCCATAACTTGTCATAAACACTAGTATTGGGCCTACTACATTTTAAAACACCACGTTCTTTATCTAGTCACAGCTTACATGTGTTGTCTTAAATATGAATATAATTACTAATGTCAAGAGTACATAGAGGCTTTACAGTTAGACATACATGTGATTATTAGGCTGGTATGTACTGAATTATAAAAATTTGTTATATTTTGTGAATGCAGGCTTGTAAATTACATCACAAAAATCTACACCATATATAATCACTGATAGAGGACCTTGTTGTTTCAGTTAAACTTTAGGCAAGTTAAACATAATAGATTTATGAACTTTAGTGGACTGTAATTTCCAGTTGAATGAAAAGTGGGGTGATGTTTTGGTTTCTATAAGAAGGTCTCGGTGTAGAAGACAAAACATCAACCTCTTTTTATTCAACAGGTAGTTGTAGTCCATAAAAGTTCTCAAACCTAGTAGAGAACCATTTTAGTATTGTTTGAATGTAACAGACAATCAGTGATATATATTTTGTTGTAAATCACATCATGTTCTGTATGTAAAACGTGCATTTACAAAGACTGTATTATAGATTTAAGTATTATTTTTTTATATACAAATACCTGCATTTACTAACATTTTACTTTAAAGATATTAAGTTTTCATAAATCTAAATTACCTGCAGTTTTGAAGACTACAAAACCTCAAATATATGTATATATTAACCCTTTCATGACTGGTATTCATCTCTCAGGTGTTGAATATACGTATCAGATTACAAAATTTAAGTCATAAATATAATTCTTCTTTCAACAAATTTTTACTCAGAAGTATCTTAGAATAGAATTGATATTTTTGCATTATAGGCATTTATTTATTGTAATTTATGAACATAAAGAAATAAAATTCCAACTTTTATTTCTTCTCACCTCCTATGAATATAGCCTGTAAATAATGCATTTATCCATTTTTTTCAATTTTCCTGCCCATTCCAAAATATCATCCGTTGAAAATACAATGACTCATGTCTTGGTTTTTATCTGAATTTCCTTCTTTGTCAGTGGGAGCACTATGGAGCTTAGTTGTCACCCTTTTATGACATCACAGCATGTGATCTGAACAGTTATTAATTAAGTTCAGTTCTGAAAATAACTTGAACCAACAGCTAAAGGTGATTGGGTTGATAATTATAATCTATCTATATCAGTATAAAGTAAAGTGATTTTAGCTGTTACTTGTAGTTTGCTGATATATTGGCTACCCAGTATACTTTGTGTTAAAGTATATCTGTTTAACAGCTACAGACATTTATTTGTGATAAGATATCAGGTAAGTCTAGTTAGGTTTAGCAACTACTAGGAATCATCACACTATTCAAATTACTCCATTTATTGAATATTATTTTTTAGCCTATCATACTTGAGCAGCACACATAAAATAACTTATCTATGTGAAGATAAACTATATCTTGGTTATAAATTTATCTTTACTAAAAATATTGTTTGGTTAAACATTGTATATAAACTGTGATAAATCCTGCCCTTAGATGGTCAATCGTGGTCAGGACTAGCACAAGTGTATCTACCTCTTCATGTGACAGTACACTAAATAAGTTTGATCACTTTTTAATGATGCAGAGATAGATTGTGAAAACTGTGGTTTCATCTTGTCACTTGTAGTGTAGATGACATGGACTCCTTGGAAGTTCCCAGCAATCTTAGAATTTAATATAATCCTCTTGGTCATAATAGCTTTATTGATTAATTTTAAGCCATTTTATAGAACATTGATATCATTGTATCAATTGAAATATGTTGGCTCATTTACAAAAGACTTCATGTTTTGGCTTATTTATGATCTTAAAACAAATTTTTTTATTGTTTGATGATGTTTGTTAAAATTAATTGTTTGTTTCCAAGAATTTAAATACAAGTACCTCAGATTTTGTTTTTTGGAAAGGAATAAACAGTGTTTTGTGTGCACATACTTGAGTTTAGATTCTTTGTTTTAAATTATTTGTAAAATTTCTTGACAATACAAATAATACTTCTGTTCTTAGAATAATATAATTAAGAATTTGGAAATCTTAATTATCTGTATACCACTAGTATTGTCCCAGTGTCTGTAATTTATGAATAAAAAGTAGATAAATAAGAAATAATAATAATTTTATGCATTTTACTTGATGCAGAAAAGTTAAAGAAATGTTAGACCAAATTCTCAAAAGAGTAGATATCCAAGGACAACCAGATGAAGGACAGATAGTAGTAGATATGATGATCCCAGGAAACAAAGTTGGCTTAGTTATTGGCAAAGGTGGAGAAACTATTAGACAGTTACAGGTTAGTATATAAAACTAGCAGAAGGAAATACAAAGTAGTACATTATAAAATATGGTTAAAATAAAAATTCAGTCACTTTCATCTGTTTTTTCTTTTTATTATTCTGCTAGAAATCCTATTCCGTTTGAATTTAAAGAACATGCAGCAATGGCAATAATCAAGGCAATTGTTGATTATAGTTGTCTTATAGTATGCATTATAAAGGGAATGTTATTTTATATAAACTCAGTATGCTAACTTTATAGAGAAAGTGTTTTATTAAGAAATTTAGGTAACAATCTAGTTACTTAGCTATTTTGTTAATTCATTATGATAATTAGTGTAAAGTAAAAATTTATATTAAATTAACTCTGTAGGACAGTAAATGTTACATTATATATTTTTTTAATCAGTAAACTATGCTAGATTATAAATTATATTATATACACGTGTTATATCTTAAATAGGAACAAACTGGAGCTAAAATGATTATGATTCAAGATGGACCTCAACAAACAATTCATGACAAACCACTTAGGATCACAGGATCACCATCTCAGTGTGAGGTAGGTATTTTGACACACGATAAGCCACTCATATTTCCAGAATAAAAAGTTATTGTTTTGATGATTATGCCCTAAAATAGTAATTATTATATGATACCAATATAATTGTAACTTTGGAAGTAATTGACTACAAACAATGATAAATTATCTTTTTGATACTTTTCAATTCATATAATTATATTCTCCCCAGTGGGTTAATGATAAGTTTATGGACTTACAATGATAAAATACTGGGTTCAGTTCTCTACTGTTAAAAGAGTGAATCCCATTGTGTAGCTTTGTAATAAGAAAATAACTAAAATATAAACTTGTATATATATTTTTTATTAACACTTTTTATGTAGGCATCTTTTTCTCTGCATTTCATGTGGTTTTAGTGAGTTAAATTCAAAATTTAATTGAACTACTTTCTTATTGTGGTATATGAATAATTTTGGTTAATAAACTAAATGTTAATGGTATGTAAGTTTTAATTTTATAAGGCAATATTTAAAAATAATTGTCAGTTTCCCTTTGTCAGAGGATTGTGACATTTTCTCCTTAAGCATCCCCTCTTCTCTAATTTATTTACCACCCCTCCAAAGAAGTATGAAATTTAACATAAGTTACTCATTTTGATGTCAAAGCATAATTTTTAAAGCCTGCAATCTTATTTGGTTACAAAACCATAAACTAGAAAATCAGAGCCCTTTTGCCATGCCCACCTGTCACATGCTCTCTTTCAGTAATTGCCAATAGTTATTCCTGATGTTTAATACTATATTCTTTATAACCAATAGAAAGCCAGAGTTTTAATATATCAAGTGATATATTAAACTACTTTGTTTTCTGTACAGAGAATTGTTTATTTTGCTTCCAGTTCAAGCTTTATTCCCATGGGAATTTTTAATGGCTCTTGTTGCAGTTAGAAAGCTAGATAAAATTGTGATAGTTATGGGACATTGTCTGCTTTTTGAATGTTATTATTCTGTGTTCTTTGGTGCATTATTTAATTAAATAAAAAATTATTTAGTTCTAGTAGTACAAAAAGTAGGGTTAAGTGCCATCAACATTCGACAGCAAAAAAAAGAATACCAAGGTAAGTACTTTATTTCTTATTTTTCATGTGTATTCTTTATTTATTATTATTCAAGTAACTAAAATGTAAAAATTATAAACTTTTGGATTAGGTAATAAAGAATATAAGTAATAATGATGTAATTCGATAGGGCAAGATGAGCTAAACGTTTGCTAAGTGGTTTACAACTTATATGGCATGAATATTAGTTAGACACAGTTCAAAAAGAAATAAAACAATACAATTTAAGTATAAATAGGTGTATACAAGTTAAAACTATTTAGGATAAACAAATGTAGTTTCATGTTACAATTTGAAATCATTCTAGAAAGAGAAAAATGGTAATCTAGTTGTTGTTTTTTGTGGTTATGAAGTCAGTCAAATTGAACAGATATTATATAAAGTTTGTGTTTTAAATAAACGTTTTTAATACCCACATCACCCATGTCTACTATGTAGTTACTTCAAATGGGTTCCTTGTCATCACTGGACAAAATTGGTTTTAAACTTATTACGTGTATTAAATGAAAACTTTTGGTTAACAATTCAGATTAATTATAATTTTGGTATGATAAAAAATTTAGTTTATTGTACTCAAGTAATTGTAAACACAGTGAAACTGCATACATTGTTCTTTCAATCAAAACAAAAAATTTAGCTTTTATAAAATGGAAACTTTATAGGGAAATTTGAAAAGTATATAGGAAGACTTAAAAATCAGTAATTAAGATCTACAAAAAAGATAAGCACTTTTAATTGTTTCTTTAAAAAATATATCTTAAAGAAATCTTTTTGAAATTTGAATACTGCTAATTCATACAAATATCCCATATGAAAATAAGGTATTTTATTTGCAGAAGTTACATAATCTGTAGAAAGTAATGCTGAAATTTCAAACTATTTTGTCCAGCAGTTTAGTTTTACAGTACAATAAAAAATCATACAGCAGGTGTGTTGAACTGGATATCATAGGGTATACTTGTCCAAAATGCCTGGACTCTTTCCTGTTCATTGATCTTCTGTTGTCATATAATATTGAATCATACAACATTATGGTACAATTGTATAAGCATTGAAACTGGGGAACCTTGTTGGCTGTAACATAGCTATTGGTGAGATACTGTATTAAGCATTTTCATATTGACGCATACATTCATGTTTGGTGCAACCTGATATGTGAAATGAATTGCAAGATTTATTGTTGGATGTGGTTTTTGCAAGTTGAACTACTCTTTGGTTGGTTTTATAATAAGATAATTATAGCACTTGATAAAGTAATAGAAATGTTTATAAATAATAACAACTGTGTGTGTGTGTGCATATATTCTTTTTCAAACAGTAGGTCAAAAATTAACAGTTGTACAAAAACTGGACAAACAAATAAAACTAAGTGGGATAGGTTTGTGCAAAAGTAGGAATTAAATGTTAATGAGAATAGATGTTTATTGAATTTATTCTCTGTTCAAAAAGCTCAAATAGAGAATCTTAAAAATTAGGAGTAGACATGAATACTAGCCCCATAACAACCCATAGCTAAAACTGTTGTCTGCTATTTTCAGTTGTGAGAAGGTAGCTCTTTATCGAAACAGAACTTAATTGAAGTAAAAATAGAAACAGGTTCCTAAAACAACCCATGGGATTAAATGTATAATTTATGTCTTGGAGTTATCATTCTAGACCCATACTTTTCATACAGGTCTGAGGAAGAAGAAAATGTATTGTTAAAATATAATAAGTCTAATAATAATGTCTGGTGACTAGTATAATTAATTATAAACATGCTTCACCAGCTGGGAAAAGGCATTCACACCATAACAATTGTTATTGTAACAAATGGCCTATATAAATAGTGTTCCTATCATTACTATGTTTTTGTGTCCCAATCAGCCTGATGAGCTTTGGTTTGAGCGAAATGGATTATCAGGAATGGGTATGAGGACATATTTTGTTTAAAATACTGTTACTATACACCCTTTTGATTCTTGAAAATCATTAGGAGACTAACTAGATAAAGAATGTTGTGTTAAAACATAGACCTAATACTATGTCTGATTACAACTATAGTTAATTCCACAGAATTGTTTCTGAGAGTATGACAGTGAATTTAGTCATATATTTAACCAGTACAATCATGGAATCTCATCCAGTTGAGAAATTTTGTCCTTGTTTTTGTATAAAGAATACTTTTATATATTTTAAGCTTTGCCTGAAAATAATATTCAACACAGCAACGTACAAGGGTCATCCTTCAGCAAGTTTTTCAATATCTATTTATTTTTGGCATAGCACCTGCACAGAAAAGAACATACTTCACAGACCTATGCAGATTTACATGCTTTGGCAAAAGGGAGAAAGTAATGCATTCTATGTAAAACCAGTGAAGCATTATATTTTTTTAAGTTAAATCAAATATTTTAGTTAGATTAAAAATATTTTAGGTTTGCATCTCTTCTGAGCTCTGTGATTGAAGACTTTTTAACAGTACGGTTCAGTAATATCAATACATCTTCAACTTCCCATTGCTTTTTTGTAACATAATGACTAGTCAATTTACTAGGACCCCCCACCTAATACCAGATTGAGCCATTTTTTGTTGCTATAACAGGTTGGATTCAGCATTACAAAAACTGTACAAGATTCTAGAACATGTTCTGTTTAGTAGTATCCAATTCATCCAAGAGTAGAGACGATACTAAGTTCATGGCTCTTACAAGAGGATAATGATTTCAAATGCGACAGAGTTCAATGTCTTGTTAAAGAGTGACAAAATTAAGATATATTCTGATTGGAGAGGTATCTCTACTGGTTGTGAATATATACTATTAGGTTCAATAAATGGTTATTGAAAAACTTGCTGAAGGATGACCCTTGTATGTTGCTGTGTTGAATATTATTTTCAGGCAAAGCTTAAAATATATATAAGTATTTTTTATATAAAAACAAGTTGTCTTATTAAAGAGTGAGAAAATTAAGATATATTCTGATTGGAGAGGTATCTGTACTTGTTGTGAATGTATACTATTAGGTTCTACCTCTATTTGATTAGCCAGATGTTTGAATATAATTATGATTAAAAATTGAAAGAACATGTGGATCCTCCATAATATTTAAATTACTGTTTACCATGTGTAGTTACTTTTGAGAAGAATGTTAATTTTAATGAAATTTAGAGAAGGTTAAAAAAAGAAGGAAATAGGATAGTGTAAGTAGGTCGGTTAGTATTCAGCTCCCATAACTGTGAGAAATGTAACAAAACTATTGCATGAGTAAGTTAAATATAATAAGAAAAGTTAGCATTTACCTTCTTTGCTCAAAAATCTGTTTTCTTATTATTATCATCAGGAGTAACCAATTTCTAAAAACTGGCTACAGACAGTCAGTAGTAGTTTAAGAGTGGATATTGTGAAATGGATCTTTTAATGTAAAAAAAAAAATGCAAGGATTAGGCTTCCATAGAGTTACTTAAAATGGTGTATCTTCAGTACTGTTAAGTCGTACTTCCTCAGGCTCCAGGCCCGGCATGGCCAGGTGGTTAGTGCTCTCGACTCGAAATCTGCAGGTTCGAATCCCCATCACACCAAACATGCTCGCCCTTTCAGCCATGGGGGCGTTATAATGTGACGGTCAATCCCACTATTCGTTGGTAAAAAAGTAGCTCAAGAGTTGGCGATGACTAGCTGCCTTCCCTCTAGTCTTACACTGCTAAATTAGGAACGGCTAGTGCAGATAGCTCTCGTGTAGCTTTGCGCGAAATCCACAACAAACAAACTTATATATCCTCAGGCTCCACTTCCATCTGTTTATGTTTGTGCACTTTATTTGTATGTCATGTGAATGATGAATGTTTGTTTTTTTTATTACCTGGTTTGTGGTTTTTAGATTAAAAGTTTTTTGAGGGGGGGGTGGAGATACTGATGCATTAGACACAATTTTTCTATATAAAATGAATTAATTTTTTGTCATGTAATAGTCTTCCAATTTTGTTTTACTTTAAAGTTATGTTACATCAATTGACAAGTGACAAAATATAAAAAAAAAAAAAATCCATAACCTTTTCTTTCTTTAATGGCATATTGAATCAAGCTTGAATTCTCTTAAATTTTTACTTTCTATACTCAAAATCTAAAATCCACAAATAAACCTGATCTGACAGGTATACTAATATTTTGTTTAAGTTTTTGGAAATATCTAACGTTGTTGTTGACAGTACATTGTATGAAGTAAGCAAATTTTTGTGTTACATAATATAGTTTGCCAAACAACAAGTAATGCAGTTGATAGCAGGGAAAGATCAAGATGTAAGTAATTATTTGTCCATATTATTTAAATAAGTGTAATTAATTTAGTAGTATGGACATAAAACTGCTAATTGGAAAAATGTGTTTTGTCAATCCTAATACTAATTTGTAATAAATTATCATTTGTCATTTTGTCTTTACATCAGTATTTTGTTCATTAATCATTATAACCTTAAACAACCTTTTCTTCAAGATTGATGAAATTATTTTCAGTTTTTCCATGTGCATAGTATATTTGTTTATGTGTTAGATTAATATCTAATTATTTCTTACATTTTAATGCTGATAATTCCAAATTAATCACTGTAACCACTAAATCAGTTAACTATTATTGTAAATTTTAGCCTGTATTAGTCATTTAATAATTCTTTTTCAACTGTTTTAAGCTATGATAATCTATATATATATATAAACATTGGACAATGCTGCTTTAAGCAAGCCTTGTGGTAAAAAGAGATGCTAAATTTAATTACATTCTGTATTACATTAGGTCAGTACTCCACGGAATGGAGATTACCAATATGGATCAGGTGCTCAAGAGGTAAATAAAAACTAAAACTTTTTTATGAGAGTTTATATTTTAATATTGTGTAATAATTCTTCAGTAAAATTGTGTTGCTTAACATATAAAGCAGTACCTATTGAGATAGTTACTCTTGTTAATTAACCATTAAGCAGTTTCAGTAATAAAATAGTTTTAGAAATCATTTGTTTATTTTTAAGTGATAGGAATTCAAATGTGACATAAACTATTGATATAAAAAGACTAATAAATCAATCAAACAGTATTAAATAGATGTTCAAGGATTTACCAGAGCAAACATCATGCTTTAACCCTCTCGCTACAGGCTTGGGCGATACAACTGAGTTCATGACTCTAAGTTGACCTTTAGAGTTTCCATACTATAACTTTTAATATGTTTTCTGTATCTTCACAAAAGTTTCCAAATTTCAGTAAATATTGGAAGGCTTTTTGATGCAAAAAATAAGATTTCGTGATTAAGTATTTTTACTAAAAATATCTCTGTCAATGTATGGGATCAGAGTTTTGACTTCTCTGAGTGAAAAGTTATTTTCATGTTACGATTAAAAATACTGTCAGTTAATTTCATGGTTGTCTTGTACATTTCAAAGCAAGGGGGCATTCACTCCAGATTTCTTTGCTTTCAAACATTGGATATTCTGTTTGGGGCACACAAACATCAGATCGTTCTCCTTGCTTGTCATGTTTCATGGGTAATGAATTTAGGGCCAACCAGTTTTTTGTCCCAACAGAACTCTTCCCACAAAAAGAATGCTTTATCCTCAAGTTTTTTGTTGAATCTACTCTTGTCTCAGAATGCATCAAATCGATGCTTTTGCCACATACTGGAATGCTCAGCTCACCTAACCCTCTGGCTTTGGGCATACATGCTGTCAGTTATCCAAGGTTCTTGCACTGATTTGTTCTACATCCTGCCAAGTTCATCTGGTGGCACCACATTGGCTGGGTCAACCTTGGTTTCCACTCCTCCAGTATCTTCAGGAGTGCCAATCCCTTCTCCTTCCTCTCTGGCCACCTCTTTTATGCCAGTCTCGGTTTGACATTTTTTCATCTAGGAGTTGACATTCTTTGACTTCACACCTGTCTTTTATGCAGTCCATCACGTGATGCTAGGGATTGACTTATTGGATGGCATCCTTATTAACGTGATCCATGTTACATTCTTCTTTGGAAGTTTATCACCGGAAATGGTTTGCTTATCGCCAGTGGTCTCTCAGACAAGGGTTTAACCCTTCCCATCCCACTGTGCCACATGTCTCTCAATTTCTGACATGGGTTTATGACAAAGGTTTAGTGCCTTTGTCTGTTGTCCTGTATCATATATTTTATGGTTATCTATCCTCATCATCCTTTTCAGATTCCTAATTGGGATATCACAGTGGTTATTCGTGCCTTATCTCATCCACCTTTTGAACCTTTAGGGTCATGTTCGCTATATCATCTTTCACTAAAGATTTGTTTTTTCCATTATTGGCTAGTGAGTGTCATCATTCAGATATGTTTGTTCTTCATGTTCACAGGACTCTTTTTACCATTCCAATTATGTTGTATCCTGACAGGTTTTTCCTATCCAAAATTTCAGCAGCTAGGGAAGGAAATAAAGCTTTCTCACCTATTCACTATCCTCCATTTCACATTTATATGACTGCTCGGATACGAATCGTCTTTTATGCCTGGTTTGGGCTCTCGGATGTTATGTGGCATGCACTGAAACATTTCAGGGCTCACGTCACCATTTGTTTATACATTGGGATCCTACTGTGTCACATGATCTATCCCCTGTTACTTTGACTGGCTGGATTCATCAATTTGTTTGTATTGCTTACTGTGGACTTTCATTAGAGGAACACAGACTTCTTTGGGTCTCATCTCATCAAGTTTGACATATCTAGATGTCCCTGGCAGTTCAGTTGCATTGCCCACTGGGGGAAATTGTACAGGCTTTTATGTGGACCACACCTACCACCTTTATATCAAATTATTGACATGATTTAGCAGTTTAACTCTCTCAGCACGGGCTCGGTTTTGGGGACTGACCTCATAACCATTTTGTGCTTGTTATAGTTTTCATGCTATAACTTTTAAATTATAAGCAAATGTTAATGAAATTTGGCAGTTTATCAGTAAACATTACAATGCTTTCATATGCAAAATATAAAATTTTTTATTAAGTCTTAAGGTTTATAAAGCAGTGTTTTTCTCATGCCTTTTTTTTCTTTTTTTCTTCTTTTTACATGTGGCCCATCTATCGTGC